TTGAAACAGTTTGCCAATAAAACTCCTCTCGATCGGAGCGTCTGAGGAACAGAAAATCGACTCCGTATTCCGAAGCATTTCTCCGAATATTGTCGTCGTGTGACACAAAGTCATAGAAATTCATGTTCAATCAGCGCCTAGCTCAAAATGGTAATATAATGTCTTGTGCGTCGTCGGAAACACATCATCTCTTGTCTTCATGACGGCTGCACGCTTTTCTGCATTCAATCAATGCATCAATCGATCCATCGAGCAGCCGATCAATCAGGCTCCCGTTGGACGCCCAGTCAGCGTGTCGAGAAACGGCAATCGTTTCTACGTCATGCCTCAGCCTTATGGTCATAAATAAGTTGCAGAATTCTCGCCTCTTTCGAAACGGGGAGCACTGTGATGAGTCCAGACCGGACGGTGCGCGTATCCTGATCGAATGGACCTCCTTCATCATTCAGAATCAGAGGCTTTGGTCGAATACCAACATGGATTCCTCGTCCCGTCTAAATGACCTCGAACTTGCAGAGACGAATCGGCAGAGCAGGAGCGACCCGAAACTCGCTATTCGACTTCGAGGCTTGTTCTTTGACATCGCGAATCACTCTTAGGTGCATTTCGACGCAGTGGGTTCGCGAGTCTGAATGTGAGTTGTTGAAGGTCAAGGTTCGTAGCTCGGGTCAGGAGTAGAAGAGCAGCCCGTTCAGGAATACACAGAGATGCAGTCTCACGAGAGGGAGATACCCCAGTGAATTTTTATTCGAAATCTTAGGTATTTTATACCTAGGCAGGAGTCTAAGCTCCTCCTTACATGTCCTGATCCGTACATACATATACACAGGATAAGGCTACCTTGGTCTATCATAAGTAGCGTCCTAGAATGCTATTGGGTGTACCCAGCATGTGGGGTGCTAGCCCAATTTCGTACAGCCTTAAGGGTATCATGCTAGAGTCGTAACCTCGGGGTATAACCCCGGTGACTCACGTATTTTACCTGTGTCACGGGTATATGGCCCCGTGGAGTTGGTATGAGTCATAGTCCTAGTACGGAACGAGAACTAGTAGTTTTCAGTTTCTACCTAAACCTCAACATGAGTCAAAACCCCGATCCCGACTGATTATGCGCATGCTCATTCTGCCACAGGCTGGAACAGGGAATATCGCCGGAAGCTTCGATTGAACATCTGTCGAGAAGGATATTCTAATCCCAATCACAGAAACCAGACGATGCGATTGCTTTGATGATCCATCGTGTGCAAGGAACGATGGAAGTCCAGCACTCAATCCTTGCCACCCAATCATTCATACACTCAATTATTACTCATTCCATCGTGAGCGTCGACGCTCGCCTCCAGAGCGCTCCGGAATCGATCGTCACGCTGACGTTGATCGCCTGTATCGATCAGGATCGGTCGTGCGCTGTTTGTTCTCGCAAATGTTACATTGAATGAATCCGGCGGGCGTCGAGGTGGGAGATCGGGAACGCTTCTGGGCTCCAAATGATGTAGACAGTTCCGTGACATCCCTGAGGTGCAGGAGTAACCCATCGCTTGGCCGAACCTAGTGCGCATACGGAAAAAAGATTTCAATAGACTGATCTCTGCGTGATCATTGGAAAATAAAATATTGAACGGCTCCTGTGCCTCGAAAATTTTGACGCCCGAAATCTGCCGCTCAGCGGATTGGATAGGCAAAAAAACGTCCGAGTGCGTCTGGGGGATAATCCTGGATATGTCCGTCCCCCGGATACAGTGGGACCTTGCGGAGCGTATTCTCGAGACGTTTGCCGTGGGCTGACTCGATCGGCCTAGGATAGCAGACTGCATAGTGATGCTCTGGAGAGGTAGTAAGCAATTCATTAGAATGACCGATATTCGGAATCGAGGGCCTCAGAGTCTCTACATGACGAGGATACACTTCTCCGTGGGAAAACCTCCAGCATCGCACTCACCGGGAGTCCAGTGAGCCGCTTGCGGCATGTGTCATAGAAACTTCCCACTTCTGAGCTCGTCTTACTCACAGTCGTATTCAGTGCATTCGGGGATCGGGATATACTCAATACCTTCTTCCGATCAAACCGTCTGAGCTTGAGCGAGGTGCTTCTTACCTCGATCAGCATTTTCGTCGCTACTGCAATTCCACTGTTTTTCCGCGCAAACAGCGTCGTGCTCTTTACCATCGCTTCCTTGCTCGCTCGCGAAAGTGATTATCGCATGATGAAGCCCGCGCTACAATCTGTGCGAGAAGACTCTTCTGCCTTTCGAAGACATTGCATCGTTGCCACGAGACATGCGACATTTCTTCGGGATTGTACCCCGACGAGCTCTCCCGCAAGCGCGTACATCACTTGCACATGGGATATCTCCGTGGAAGATATTCGATTGTCGTTGTAGTGCATTTCACGATGAGGGAGAGCAGTCGGAAGAACCTCCTTGAACTCTCCCGTTTTCGTGGTCGAAAGGATGCAGTTTCTTAAGAATTTTGTTGGACGATGCGCAAGAAAGGTCGCGAATGAATCTGTGAACTTCACTGCTTGGCTAGTGTTTTCGGCCCAATTCGTATAACACCAGGTAAAGCCCAGGAATAGCAGTTTCTGTGGGTTCGAAGGGATTTCGACATTTTAAATCCCTTGAGGATTTTCTCCTGCAAATCCGAGGAGAAACTTGTGCGGCAAGGATTCGCGTGGCCCTAGTCGTGGCGAACACGGTTCAGGGGCACTTCTGTGTAATGAGCTGCCTTCTGTTCACCTAAACGCTCCGGTTATGATAAGTAAGCATCAAAATGAGCTTGCTTTTCAAGGAATCTTCGTCAAAGCGACTTTTTGTTCTGGCCGCGAACGTCTCTACGGACGTTTCAACTCGTTCATTCAGACCGAGCGTATTGAAAACACTGGATCCTGACCATTCTGAGTCAATTTTCCGAGAATCGGGGGATCAGACGCGGAATGACAAGTGCCAGGATCTGCCCCTCGGACGGAGAAATTGCAGGGAAGGTGAATTAGAATCGAAGAATCGTCGTTCGGGATTCCCCCTCTGTCTTATTTTTGGTGGAGCAGCTCGCAAAACGGTGACGCTATAGTTCGAAAAGGAACTGCAAGCGTGAAGAGAAGGAGGGGGGCTGAGGGGAAGGTAAGAGAGAAGGTAGAAGAGCCACAGGAAAAAATGCATTGACGCACTACTCAGAAGGGTGGAAAATCCAACTAGAGTGTGGGGCTCATGTAAATTATACCCACTAAAAAAACTTAAGGCTCTTCACCTGAAGGGAGAAAGCGGATAGTGTTGGATTTGAAGAGTTAGAGTTCATACGTTGAAGGGAAGAGATGAGGGCCAAAGGCATCCCACAGACGGGATGTTCGGGGGAAAAGGTTGAGGCGAAATGAGCAGTAAGATTGAAGGAAAGTTAGACAGAGTAGGGGTGCTGCTTGGTACTCTTTCTGGTTACACAGGCGGGACCAAGACAGGGGGAACGAGGGAAGAGATTTCATCTTGAAACATCCAACGCTTTCCCCCGTCGTATCCCAGGGCTGGGACCGCGAAGGCCTCGACTCTGCAATCTTACAATTATCTATTTCCCCGACCGTCAATGTCAGCTGAGCGGCACGTCGACGATGGGTCAATAACCCCGATCATCGCTCCGTACCCGCATACGCCAGTATTCCCATCTCCGTTTGTATGAAGGCAAAGTGTCGCTTTGAATCCCTGACGTGATCCGCGTCGGGCGTCATTCCATGGGCGCGGAAAGCTGCGGATTGCGGAAGATGGGTGAATCAGCTCCCGGATTTTGCGTATACTACATGCTTCAATTCACAGAAGTGCACGAAGCGATGAGTCGTCGAATGCGGAGTTCGGGCGAGCAGTCCTTCTAAATGAGATTCTATTTTGGGCGGTCATTCACGAAACACTAGATTTATCTGCACGAGAATCCCCTCGTCAGCGAGCACCCTGCACTCGATCAAGTCGAAGCCATGCCTTCATCAGCCATTGCCTCAAGTTCTGCCTCCCACGGAAACGCATGGAGCTCCACAAGCGGCATTCCATGACGGTGCGCGGGGCCGAAATGGTAGCCTCGAAACACGGACTCCCGCGAGGAAGTTCCGTTTCTCCGATCGACCGCGCCGATAAGGTATCCCGGCGCAATCAATTCGAAGATATCATTGATTGATGATATTCTCACATTGCTCAGCCTCGTACCGTGTATGAGCTCTAACTCTAAGGTAACTTGTGATAATGAGCGTCCATGTCATCGGGAGAGGGTTTGAATCTCGAATCAGGTGTAGGAGCCAGGGAATCTCCTCTATCCGGGTGCGGTATTGGGGAAGTGCAGGGATCTATGAGCTTCACCGATAATGATGCTCGGGCGCCTTAGATTAGCGCCTCAATGAATTCTTTTCTCGATCATTTTCTCCACTGATGTTTCTCTCTGCTGCTGCTCTTCAGATCAAGTAGCGCTCCTCCTTGCGGAGCTGGGCCGGTCTCAGGATAGCTTGCTTGGGTATACCTGTTTAGGGTCATAGCATCGATGAATCACACCGCTACCCAACGTCTCGGCCCCATCATACATATAAGTCACAAAGTCACAATGAGAGCTTCGAGACTACGCTACCGGGGTTGATTTCCTGAAGAGTTCTCAGTTCCGATTCTCGCCTCAATTTGTCGGGGAGCTTGAGGACACCCGACGTGAGGCGCAATGGCGCATATGATGAGTTCCTCAGTGTCCCTCTGAATTTCCGTCATATCTATTGTCCGAAGATGACCATTCCAACTATTGCTTCCGCGATAGAGCGAAAGTTGCACGACCTCTCGACTCCTATTTCGTTCCCGGTGCTGAGGCTAGGGTCCATGGTTTTTTTTTAGCGAATATCAGCCACTCCAACCGTATCGCAGCCGACGTTCCAGAGAATTTTCTCCAAGGCCGATTCCTCGAACATTCGTGGCTTTCTTCACGTAATCATTTATTCTCAACATTCCCAAGGAAGAAATAAAAATCCCATGACTTTTGAGTACTGCTCCGCATCAAATTCGAACGTTCTTGAAGTATTTCGCGAATTTATAAGTTTTCTCGGTGAATGTCGGGATGAATTCCGGCGGTTCAACAACAGTTTCCACGTGGATGTTGCGTTCGAGGATAGCCAACTCCATCGCTCGCTTGAAACCCTCAGATACATAGGTGCACAGCAACACTGGATCGAGTTGCTCCTGTGGAGACGGCCAATGACGCAAGACCCATTCTATGGCACGAAGAATCGGATATCGAAGCATTGTCGACAAAGCAGATCCTCGGGTCACGAACCTGAAGAGAATCGAGCTTCCACAGGTAAGTTTTGTCCCTTTTCTCCTTCTTCGGTAGATCGGGCTTGGGTTGGTACTTCCCTGCGACGTCGAGGAGCATCTCCCATGCAGGCTCGAACGGGACAATCGAATCGGCTTTCTCCAGGGTCGCCCAGTCGGCATCAGCGAAAACTGGATGCTGACGATACTCTCCGTAGGTGTGGTTATTCAAGCGATCTGGGATGACAGAGGCGAGGAGTTCGTGAGGGCCGAATGGGAAGTTTTCCAAGATGACACTCCTCGCCTGAGAAAAGGGACATTTAGCTCTCCTACCCCTCAAGGATGTCTTGAGAGCTTTCTCCGCGAAATCCTGGAGCATCTGATATTCCTGCGAGTGCTCATCGTCATTCCATTCAATATGAGGTTTCTTCAAGAGCTTCTTCAGCTCCGCTTCTTTCCTCGCGACGAACGGAACCCTCCCACAGCGAAGGGTGAAAACCGTGACACCCATCGACCACCTGAAATACCTGACATTACAACATCTCAACTCGAAGCTCCCGGTGAAGGATACGGAAGGCTGAACTCCAGACTCACCAGTCGGCCGCTCGTCCATAGAAATCTTTCCGCAGGACTTCTGGGGCGATGAAGGCCAACGTCCCCTCCACTTCACCATCTTTGAATTCTCTCGCGGTCCTCCGACAAAATCCGCCGTGAAATCGATTTCCAAAGAGACCTATACAAACTTTGGCTGTGTCGAAATCACACAGCTTCACTCGGCACTCCGGGTTCATTAGAATGTTGGAGGGCTTCAAGTCACGATGGATGAAGCCGATGTAGTGCATATACTCGAGAGCCAGACAGACTTGGGCGGTGATAGCTATGGTTATATCTGTTGGTAGCCACCCGTTCATATTGACTATCCTTTGACAGTCTACACCGCTGAAATATTCCATGACCGCGATATACGCTTCTTTGGTCACGAATGTGCAGTAAATCCCCACGAGCAGAGGATGCCGGTTCATGCTGGCGACGAGGGCGGTGTTGAAAGGGCTGTTGGTTGCTTTATTCTTCTTTCTGTTCACTACTTTCAACATGATGTCCAAGCCTCGCCCGAACTGTGCGCAGTGCACGGTGCCTTGAGATCCGTTCGCTGAGGAGAATCACCACATTGATTTCCAGAGCCAAGGAGCAGCATTAACCGCTGAAATTCGTAGTCGATAAAAAATTCTGCTGACCTATGCATTGACATTTTGAGAAGCTTTTCAAGGGCGGTACTTTCGGGATGGGTCGCTCAATGTAGTTGGTCCGGTAGTATTCCTCGTAATGGGCGGACAACTTCACCCAATCGGTAACTTGTCGACCGGCGAGATCTTCGAGATGACCGCAGATATCTTTGATAACTCGCATGCTCATCACCATCAACTTGCAGAGGTACTGTAGGGAGGCATGTCACTTGACGGACGCCTTCCGAAACTCAGAAGTCGGTGAGTCCCATCTCAAAAGTCTCCATGCTCACTCAGTGACGAGCGACCCAGCGATTCTTTATATCTTACCACACAGGCGATCTGAGACCGCGAAGTCAAGACGTCCAGCAGGGACGCGAGATTCTCGAAGTGCTCCCTGATGTCATCGTAAGCCAGTTTCTCTTTTTCAAGTCTGATGAGGATCTTCACACATCCCAAACACGTCTGCCTCATGACAAAGTGCTCTGGTGGTGACATAGCGGTGCCGGGCTGAAATTCTTGTTTCAGGAAAGCTTGAATCCCCGCAGCCGCCGCTTTGATCGTTCTTAGGGAAGAATCCATCAACGTAGTTTTCGATCATTCGGGGCAGGGAAACTATCCCCTTGTACGACATCGATTCCTCCTCTGGAGTTCACAGATTCCCCGATGTATACCGAAACTCGGCTTATCACTCACGCGTCATATAATGTCTTGACCTTATTGAAAACTTTTTCTTTCTCATTGTCGTCCATCTGACCCGAAGTCGGGGGATCCGAGACGAAAGTCTCGACAGTGACTTAGAGCGGAACCAAGAATGACAAACTATTATTCAGTGATCTTCGAGTCATTCAAGGTCGTCTGAGGAACACTCTGTCACTATCACCGATTAGGAGCGAGGGGGAGCAGGGACACAATTGGCACTTACCCGAGGCATCCGCGATCCGTATTTTAGGTTTTTGGTGTGAGGTCTGACTCAGGGAGGCAGACGCTTTGCCTGGTTTCAGGATGCTCATTTCAGATATTGATTACCGCAACGCCTGGTTCAGAACACCGTTGTTTTCTCGAAAGCACAGTCGATGATCCAACCTGCTAAGAGTTCCGACACCTCCACAACACCCTCAATGAATCCAATGTAGATCTGTTGATAGGGGTTCACCTGAATCAATCTGAGGAGGTTTTGTTGAATCGATCTTTTTCGTCTGTAAGTGAGATATCCGCGCTGGGAGAGAAGATGCTTCATCGCACCCCATCCCGACAAGGTTCTGAGTGAATGTACTGAACGAGTCTTGCTGTCGTCACTGCAATCGTCGCCTTTGTCCTTCTTACACTCTCATTTTCTCTCAGTCTCTGCATGGAAGAGCAGGAAGCTTATGCTTGGGGAATACCAGCAAGCTCGGTTTTCATGCCCCTTCTCTACATCGAGCTCCGATCGAGTCTGCTTCGCTGAACGAGGTGCCGAGAAAAGGCGACTGACATTGACCGCGCCGATGAGGTCTCCCGGCGCAATCGATTCGAAGATATCATTGATTGACGATATTCTCACACTGCTCGGCCTCGAAACCTATATGAGCTCTAACTCTAAGGTAACTTGTGATAATGAGCGTCCATGTCATCGGGAGAGGGTTTCGAATCTCGAATCAGGTGCAGGAGCCAGGGAATCTTCTCTATCCGGGTGCGGTATTGAGGAAGTGCGGGAATCTATGAGCTTCAAAGTTAATGATGCTCGGGCGCCTTGGATTAGCGCCTCAATGAATTTTTGGCCGATCATTTCCTCCACTGATGTTTCTCTCTGCTGATGCTCCTTAGGTCAAGCAGCATGCTTGGGTGTACCTGTTGAGGGTAATAGCATCGATGAATCACACCGCTACCCAACGTCTCGGCCTCATATACGTGACAATGAGAGCTTCGAGGCTACGCTACCGGGGTTGATTTCCTAAAGAGTTCTCAGTTCCGATTCTCGCCTCAATTTGTCGGGGAGCTTGAGGACACCCGACGTGCGGCGCAATGGAACCGACAGCGGAACGCATATGATGACTTCCTACAGTGTCCCTTTGAATTTCCGTCATATCATTTTCCCGAAGATGACCCAAAAAAAACCATGCATTTGAGGACCTCCTCCTCGATGCATGGTTTTCACGGGGAACGGGAGCATGAGGATTCATCACGGATGCAGAATCCTCGAGTTACGGACAGAATCTTCCTCGACTGAGCTCGATGATCAATCGCTCTGAAGAATTCGGGGCGACTCCGCCTACTATTTCGTAGCTGAATCCGGGCTCAGGACCGGTCGACTCCAATAAATAGCCAGGTCATTGAAGACCCTCGCAGATCTTTGGACCTCTTCGGGCATCTTGGCAGAACACGGTTAGCATCCCAGACTTCTTCAGGCCACCTCAAGAGAGGTTTCAAAGGGAGAGAAGCCGAAATTCTCCTGAAACCCCCACCGAAAACACAGACACATTCTCGGACTGATCCGTCCGGACATATCGCCTCTTGAAACTCCATATCGAGCGAAACCGGGACGATAATCATCATCGCAAGTGGTCAGGCTGGATCTTAGGTAGCGGTTCTGGTCATGGGTATACTCTTCTCGGCATCGAGTTTATATCACAGGAATTCTGAGCTCGCCGCTTCCCGTCCTTGTCTCAATGAGCATATTAATGCTTGTTGAGCTTTGGCGTGGGTCATGACTCATGAGTCATGAGTCATGACAGAATTCGGGGAATCAAGTCTCTCGGACGCGGAGCGATTCTCCAGAGCCGCGGTCAGCATCGACTGCGATGGACAAAGGATCACGGAATCGTACGATCGATCTTCCTCCTCCATGTGGCCGAGCTCGAGGGAGCTCAGCTCGGGAATTTCGCGGTCTCACTGCAGCTCGCTTGCAACCTCTCCAGGCTCTGAAAGAAAATTATCTGGATATTCCCTCTGACGATGAGTCTTGTGTTGCTTCCGATAATGCATGGTGAGACGAAACGTTTTCCGGAGATTCACCCGCTGAGGTTGGCAGTGGTGTAACCAGGGGGACGTCCCCGTAGCCTCAGCGGAACCTTTCTCCCCTCTCTACGGCGACTGAAGACTCATCTGAGAATAACTATGACCGAGAAAAGATTTTTGACGGGAATCGCGCTTTCGGACATCGACCGAGACAATGAGCGCGATATAGAATCCATCATCGACAGGTCCTCCAGCAAGCGGAATCGCTGACTGATGTTAAATTCGTGCGTCGAAGCAGCGTACCGAGCAGTATAGTCACCGTTTGTTTCCAGCGGGCTGTTCTTTGCCCTCCTTGTTATTCTGTTTTACCCCTTGGCGGTGACGGAAAGAAAGTTCTTAGAATTCTAATCTTAACGATCGTCAGCTCTATCGGAACTATTGATAAGTTTCCCATCGGTTTGAGACCAAGATCCGATGACCATCGAGAGGATTTCCGCTCCCCCTCCCAGGAAAAAATTCCGCGCGCTCTGAGACCCGAATTCGACGCCTCAATTTATTTCAGGTCGAATCGAATAGTCGGTGGGGAAATCACCGACTCCCTTTTTGTCTGCCGAACTCCTTTCTGACAGAACAAGGCGAGTTATCCAGATTCGTCCATACGACTATTCCAAGCGTGGCGCAAGACTTTCCAGAGACTCATTTTCTCTAGGCATTCGACTTCGGACGACAGAAAAATTGTAGCTTTTGACGATGAGTATCGCGGTGTCCAGATGACGACTCGTATAAGCAGGATACGCCAGGAGACTCAAGCTTGTCTGCTAATCAGTTTCGTGGTCCAGTATCCGCCTCCGGGAACAACGAGCACGACGGATAAACCAACAAGTACAGCCGCGCATCTGGAACAGAAGGAGCCGGAGCACACCGCCGAGGATAAAAATGAGGACGGAGAAGACGATGATGACGAAGGAGAGACTTCGAAGAAGGAGAGCGAAAGTCAGTGGAGTCATGCGATTCCCAAGAAGAGGGAATGCGCCCTCTGGAATCGAGAACCATCGATGAAGACGCCGATCAAGTGTATCTCCTGCGCTCAAATACATGTCTTTTGTCGAAAGGACTGTTGTTTTCGCTCTGTTGCCAATAGATCGACGCTTGTCTCGGCCACGTTGAGATAACCCCGTCGGATCCCTCATCATCAGACCATTTGTCGGGCTCCGATGATCCCGAAAATTTCCGAATCTCTGTCCAGCAGGAACCCATATAACAGGATGAGCGGGTTGGGGAAGTAGGGAATTTCTGCGAAAATGCGATCCAGTCAACGGGTACAGGGCAGGGCGCTTTCCCTGCGGGCTGGCATCTGCCGAGCGAGGTGAGCTCGAGTGAGCCAACAGATCCGTGTGATCTTTCTTATGCTCGATACATCTGCTCACCTTTTATCTTCAATTGTCTCTTTCGAATATCTCGCTTAGGTCGGAAGTGTCTTCCCGAACACATACCGAATATTACTTCGGGCGAAAGCGGAATTCGAGGAAACCCAAGATAGGTTTTGAGAGAGTATATTATACAAGAAGGGGCGAATTGCGGGGCTGCCGGTCCACTCCACAGTCCCCCATACATTAACTGGCGCTCGCCGGGAGGAGTTTTGTTTTTTCCGAGAACATGGAATTCTGCCCCCATCTCTGCGGCAGTAGTTTACTTCGGTAGTTCGGCGTCCTCTCGCTCAAAGATGGACCTGGAGGTTGGTCAGATCAATTCAATGCGACGCGACGCTTCAAAGCGGCGCCGTGAAGGCAAATCCGCCAACCCATTCTGCTGGCGCTCTGAGCGCGATTATGGTGCTCATCCTTTTCTTCATGCTCCGTTCCCACGTGTTGCGTGTTAACGGAATCATGCGCGACTCATTCGATAGAAGTCGGCTTTGAAGGTGATTCCGTGTGTCGCGTGAATAGCTCTTGATTCGAACGACCTTCAGGACAGAATTTCACGAAGAACTTCGCGGTAACCCACGCGAAAACCGAAATCCATAAATGCTGGGAAGTATGCTCCGAATGTCAGTGCGATGATGGCTCGCTCGGACATCATGCTGCTGATGTTCTCCGTGGTTGTTTTTTGCGCCGCTGCTCTCGGTAAATACTTCCTCCTATTTGATTCACAGAGCCACTCCTGACCATCCTCGAATGCGTGAGATTGAGACAAATCCCTGCCATCAGATATAAGAGCGAATTGAAGCCTCCGTCTCCATTTCTCTGAATCGTTTGAATATATCTGACGAGAGTTGATTGTATTTGCAGTCGAAGGGCAGCTGAAAACTCCCAGAGGCAAAACCCCAGCTCGAGTATTGAGTGAACGCACTCTACCAACTGGTGAGAAAGAGGTGTGGGTTCCTCCCCCGCTAATCATCTAAAGGAAATCGCCGGGAATGCATACAGAGCCGCGTTTCGTTCGGAAGATCGATCGCCATGGCTTTCGATACGCCGATTAGGCGTTATCCTTAACCCGCACTTAGCGACATCTCTCTCAAGTTCCGGAGTTCCCCTCAGGTTACTGTTGCGGTTGAAGACAGCTTCCTCCATAATGGTCAACGAGTCGCCTACGTTGAAGAGTATTCTTGCGTGAAAACCATCAGGACCAAGTCCGGAAAAATAAAACAACAGAGGTCTCGCTGTCTACCTCTCGTCGCCTTTACGGAAGCCGACGAGGCAAGTTTGGGACGCGCTTGTTTTCGTAGACTTGACGCGATACGGCTACCAGATGCGGCGTCAAGATGACTGAACGAGATCCCTACGGTACTAAACCAGAATTCCCCTCTAATTTGCAGGACCGAGTCAGCTTCGATTCTGAGGGTGCGAATGTTGGCGCAACGCAGAGAGACGAATCCGATGATCACACTTATCGAGCGCTTTATCAAAGAGAAACAAGGCGGACATCAGCCTTGCAAAGGCAGTTGCTGATATTGAGGGAGAGACTCGAAAAGTGCGATTTCGGAGCCTGAGCCTACCTTATCTGGCACGACACACCGCCTCCTTCACAAGAGAGGACGTCCCTTGACTCCTTCGAATCTCCAACTCGCTATCGTTCTGACGCTTCATGAATTATCTATTATCTATTATCTATTATCTATCTATATAAAAATGGAAGTCCACAAAATCGTTGTGTCGTATGGACTCGGTTAATATTGAAAACATACTCTAGATATTTTAAGAGGACCTTCAGTAGTTTCCCTGGTACCCCCCCGGCACACGAGATCGACGATTCCGCTTCTAGATTTTAAACATTCAACGATTTTACGTGATTCTTGCCTACTTCGTTGTTATTGTCGATGGATGACGATGCTCGATGCTGCTCATGAATCACTACGGAGACCTGATCTCGATTCTTCGGCTCCTTCGGAATGGGTAGAAGAGCTCCTCCAGAATGGGCGCCTCATGCGTAACGTTCTAGCAGCGTACCTACTCGGCGCACGAGATCGTGATTTTTCGGTGCTCTCCGTCTCTGAGTTGATTTCAAGCTGCTTCTAATCTATGCCTGATTGAGTTTATCGGAACAGAAGATTGTTTTCAGGCTCCTTTGGAACGGTCCTCTGGAGCCCACTTCTGGGTGGGGAATCATTTTCAGAATAGTTTCCTCAGTGCGGGCTGGTAACGGTTATCAGTTGTCCTCAGAGCAGGGGAAAATCTTTCTCAAGTTATTTCTTCTTCTTCATCTTCCTCTATTCTTGATTAGGAGGTCGACGAGGACAATAATCAAAAACGGGAGGCTAGGAGGAGAATAGGGAAGGAGTGAAGAATGGAAGAAACATACATGGGGAACGAGAGGAATGAGAAATAGTAGGAGATCCGAGAGCAGAGGAAGAACGAGGAAGAAGGACCAAAGTGCTTAAGAAGAGGCACGGGAAAGAAGTACCAACGAGGTAAAGAAGATAAAGAAGAGAAAAATGACAGGGACGGAAAAATAGCAGAAATTCAGGGAGAGGGAGCGGGAACAGGTATCGAGAAGTGATTGGAATGTGTGAGACAGGGGGGGATGAGAACGGGAAAAGAGTAGGCAAACGCTTACGATATCATGAGAAACGGGAGCAGAGGAGGGGATTAAAACGTGGATAGAAAATTGGAGAGATATGGGAAATGAGAAAAGGGTGTAACGGGAGGATGGGGGACATCTGAGAGTAGACGAGTAGCGGGGCAAATACGCGAAGGGACGGGGAAAACAGGGAAAAGTATGAAATGATAGAAACGGACGAAGTGTGCGGGAGTACAGAGTGACTCGGAAAAGAAGCACACGACAGAGGGGAGAGGAGGGTAAGTGGAAAGAAGAGGGACTGAGCAAACAATTGGGAGAATTGAGGAGATCCGGGAGGAGAATAGAAACGAGGAAATGAGAGTGACGGGAGCCAAAACTGAGAGCAGCAGAGGAACGGGAAGAATCGGGGTAGTGGAGAAATGGGAAAAGCCGGGGGAAACAAGGGTAACGAGGAGGAGAAAGAAAATGGGGAAATATCTGATCCAGGCGGAGAGAGGGGAGACACGAAGGTGAGAATAGTGTGGAAGAAGGAGAGATCGAAGTATAAGAGGGGAACGGGAAGACGAGAGGATCGGGGGGTGGCGGATAGACGGTTGAGCGAGGAAAGTAAGGAGGAGAAGGGAGGACACAGGGAAGTGGGGGAAGATGTGAAAAAGTCAAGGGTTAGTGAAGGAAGAGAACCAATTCTGAAGAGCAAACCAGAGGGAGCCTGAAGGGCGACCGGGAGACGAATAGAAGAGGGAATGTGTGGAGCAGCGGGAAAAAACAGAAATCGTGACCGCGAAATTAAGTACGGGTAGAGATCAGAGGTTCTGGAGCAGAGAGAAGAAACTCGGATACTGAGGGACAAGAATCGAGGAAGAGGAAGTTCTATTGAAGCGAAGAGACGAGCTGGGAATGGCCAGATCTTGACAACGCCACTGATTTCTAGATTTTGTTCGTCACGATCTTAGCATAAACATTCATATAGATACAATGTAAGCCGCAGCGCAGCGCGGCCGGGCACGCTTCAATTGAATAAATTTCAATGCAGCTGTGCGCATCGAGCTCTTGGTAGCGCTCGATCGATTTCCTCGCTTTGAACAGCTCCATCAGCTTTCCTCCGATAAACATGACGGCGCTCTACAAGAGAAGAATTTAAGAACTGTTCTGTCTACAGCAAAAAATGATCGTCAGAGCCTCGAATCGAATCCTCCTCCATGGTGAAAACGTCACGGAATTTCACAATCACTTCTGCCCACCCGCGCGACCCCCAGGGGGTTTGCCGTGGGCGAATTTCGGTCTCGATTGCTTTTACTCGCCACACACCCTGTGACCCGAATGAGGAGGCTCGAATCTTCTTGTTGACACAATATCTCGTCTTTTTTCCTCTCAGCATGGTGGCGTGAGCTTCCTCCGCTCCACGCACATGATCCATATCCTGAAGTTAACGTCGAGGAGAGTCGCCTTATGCAAAGATATCCATTCCCCTCCTCCCAGCAATCAGAGAGCTTCAGAATGGGAAATTGGGGTTCCTCTCTATCTGTTGCCTTCCCCGAAGCTTTTTCAGGGGTGTGGGTGGCCACAAACAATGAGATCAGGGAATCGGATTACCGGAGGTGATCGGTGGATTAGAGCAACATTCTTTCGTGGTGAGAACAAGCATATTTGGCGTAGTCGCCGTCGATCCAGTCGGCAAACTTGCCAGGTAGAATGCACCGGAAGAAATATGTCGTGCTCTCATCAATCAAGGCTCGGGGTACGATATACTCTCCTTTACCATGTCTGACGATAAGAACATTCTCGGTTCTGGTGAAGACTTCACTAGTAAGCAGGAACAAGGCTCTTAGCGTCTTAGACTCGGTCTTCGGGGATATGATGACTCCGCCATCGTTCGCCAAGTAGGCGAAGACAAATGTGTACAAAAAACAGAAGGTGCGCAAGACCAACGCAATAGCTGCAAATAGTCGGAACTGGTTTAATTTCGCCCCCCGTCGAATTCCCCGAATCTCGCTGGATTCGCAAAATCAGGCAGAGCCCGCGCCATATCCTCGTATTGTTGTGGGGAATAGTGCTAGTACCGGACGAAATTCGGTGGATGTCGAGACCACTCACCGAAAGACGGAAATTTGTACTTATACGCGGCGACGTTGAAGACTCTTGAACCGCATTGTCGGAATGCGTCGACTGCCTGTTTCTGGGCTCTCATCTTCTCCACTGCATTCAATATGCGCATGGGCTTGCAAACATGGAACTTTCCGGCATAGTAAGATGAGTTCCAATTTACGCGTTTGACTCTTCCTGATCTGTGGTCTAGGGTGACAGAAATGGAATCAGACACGGCAGCGAGCACAATAAGCAGAGCCAGCCGCCGAGGTGGCATTTTACACTATGGCAGCTCATGACCATGGGATCTGGGACGGATGCTGTGCGTTTATCCAACGGGGAAGGCTCTCTTTGATAGGGGACGGTGAACAATTCACAGATCGCCTTATTGGAGGCCCTCGGCCAAGATATTTGTACAGCGGGATGAATCCATTCATCGAAGGACACAACGGTGGCCTTCGGCATAAATTGAGCATTGGGATCACCTGCGATCCTTTCCTCCGCTCAATCTGTCGGCCACCGCGAGAGAAGAGGTCTCCAGTATGAGTCGAGGGCGCCGATCTAGGATCGCGGCTTCAGGGATTTATAGTCTCGTCCCTAGCCTCGATCCTTTTATCTGAAAATCACCTGCACAGAAAGTCTGCCCACGGACCCCATCGCACGGCCCGAGCGAGCTTATCCCTGCCTTGTAGAATGAGCACCCGGACACCACGACCGGAAATCGGAGCCATAAAAAACTCTGGAAGCAGATCCCGACCGGATGCGATGAGCGATGGCTGAGGACAGCGCTAAAGAAAAAATGCACACAGCAGAACGAGGAAACACAGGAACGAGGAGTGAAATGAAGTGTCCGAATCAGTATTAATCGTTTGTTGTATTTATTATCATCTCGCGTACCGAAATAATGATAATAGGTGACTATCAAAGTTGATTGAGCTTAGACGGCCCAGAAACATCATCTGCACCTTACGTATAAGGCCTTATACTAAGGACAGTAGGCTGATGTCTGGGTCCTCGACTCGAACGTGTGTAGTGCTTCGATGACACCCGTTCGGGTTTTTGTCGTCTCTTAAACGAGCTACGTATCGATCAGCATCAACATACCAATGATGACAGTAGGAATTATAGTTTCAAAGGATTCACCAACGGGAAAAAACGATTTTGACCAATCAGAAAGATCGACCAATCGATCAGTCGAATATTTGACGATCGATCAATCGATCAGAATTATTGAACATGACTCATTCGCTACGATCGCAACTCTGGAACGACGTCACACCTAAAGAAACTGCTTCGCTGTCGGAGCTCGAGCGAGCAACGACGTCGGACAGCGGCGAAAAGTTGCAAAGCGACGATCGTGAACAGCGCAGTGTGTTGAACGTTAGCATTGCCTAGCACATCGCAGCGAAACTCGGCCCTTCCGAGAAAGGATACTTGGGAGGAGAACGGTGTCCTTCTTAGGCGGCAGCCTTCTCCATCTTGATCATCTCAAGGATACCGTCCTGCATCTCCTTGACGGCCTGGAACTCGGTCAGACCCATACGCCGCTTGTTGGAAATGTCGTAAACTCCGCCTTCGGACTCGGTGTGCTCACCACGGGTTCCTGAGGATTAGGGAAGAACCATAAGGTCGAATCCAAACTCGGGGAAAAGGACACGACGAAAGAGACACCTACGATTCTGGGGAGGAATTCGATAACAAGAGAAATACTCTGTCAGCTTACCGCGGACTTGCAGAGAGTACTTAGAGGCGATTTCCTCGAGCTTTGCGCGGTCGGCGGCGAGCTTGGGCAGAGCGATGTGCACGGAGGCCCGGATGGTTGTCCCCAGGTTAGTGGGGCAGAATGTCAGGTAGCCAAGACGATCGTCCCGAGAGAAAGGCAGCTTAGCCTCAATGGCCTTGACCGCGGCAGTAAGACGACCGAAAACTTGTTTGAGATCGCCTCCCTTCTGCATGGAAATGATGCGAAGATGATCTTCTTCGTTGCACCAGACGAGGAAAGTTTTGGCATCGTTGTGGTAGATGCCACGGCCAGCGGGCCAGTATCGACAAGCGTTGGCAGCTTGCAAGAAGCGATCGCCCTCCTTGAAGAGGAAGTGATCGTCGATCAACTGCTGTTGGGTGGCTTTGTCCATTCCGGTCAAGGGGTAGTAAGTTCCCTTGAGTTCACCGTCGAGAGCCTTCAGGGTAGAAGAGACCTTCGCCTCCATCTCCTTGTATTGCTGTTGGAAGGAAGAACATTGAGTACGTCATCGATCATCGGTGAGAGGCATCGAGATCCCACAGAGAACATCCCCCGGTCGTTTTGGGAATTGAACAGGAACAGAACGCCACGCCGCCTAGAGAGGTGTGTGTGGAGTCCCCTCACATCCTAGTTTTGACTTGGTCAGATATCGAGTCATCCGCATTAGGTTTATCCACGGCCAGGACCTTGGGTAACTGTTGTCATTGATCGATCCAACGAGTCTAAAAACTGCGACTCCCCCGGAGGCGAACGTACCAAGGCACAAGGATATCTGTGACACTTTTGCGAAAACTTCCATCCAGTTCTGGACGGCATGGATTGACTCAACTCGAATCGAATTATGGTTGGTCACTTATCCGTATACTCACGTTCTCGGTGAGGCAGGGGTTGAAAGGATAGCCCTGCAGAGAGCGACCGCAACGAACGCGGGTGGAGATAACGAATTTGCCTTCGGGATCCACGTTGACGAGCTGGTTGAGATCTCCGAAGTCAGATTGGGGGTGCTTGTCGGTGGGCTTGAACCCTTGATGGTAATCATCGATGATGGGATCAAACAACGGAGCGAAAGTCTTATAAGACTCCGCATCGGGAGCGTACACGCCGACTCCCGAGTCGAGATTCTCCATGCCTAGAACGAGGGAGCGCCGACACGTTAGAGAAAGCGACATATCCAGGTAATATACTGGAATTTTTTCAACGGAGTAAGTTTTTTTTCCTATTCATTATGCAACCTTCTTTCTTCTTTTTTTCGGAGTATCCTGGATTTCAATGAATCTATCGTTAGACGATATCTCTCTTAATTGAATTATTGATTTCTTTCGGGATTTCTCTCATAGACGAGATGGAGAGCTTCACATAAGACGCTTCGGAATTGACAGGCGGACGAAAATTCCACCACTAAGAGAGAGGGCACTCAGAGGGAAGCCGAGAGCATGCACATGTGTCTCGAGAGTCTCCTGGTTATATATAGTTTACTCGTCTGATCCTATATAAGGTGGTCGGAGACTGTGACACATTACCGGTTGAAGCAACCAAAAGATCTGCGGCTCTTTCTCTTTGTCGACCAACACACCAAGAACCGCCGCTCACCGCATATCCGCTGATGTTGATTCCGATTCGTAACTATTGTTACTGAGCCCAGATCGGCTATCGGCACTCGCCTCCCGGGAAACTCGTAGGGGAGCACTGATATTTTATTAGGAAGTGGAAAGAATTTCCCTCTTCTGTCCGATTCGGAGCAGGAAAGCCCCCACGGAGAGTCCACCGGAATGCCGTATCCACAAGAGAGTGTTCCTTCCAGACAATACCGAAACGATAATGTCAGATCCCGAAAAAAAGAGCGACTGGCCCCGTCATTTCATGAGCCCGGGGACTCAGCCCGGGAAAATGTCTGCAAGTCCCTTTCGGCGCTGGCGTAAGGCCAACTCCTCCGTGTCCTTGAAAACGAGTCAATTACACCACGTATTGACCGAAGTAGATAAGGCAAAACCCAGCTGCGTTGTTGGACAATCTCCGCGCGGATTTGTTGGGATCTCGCAACTACAGCTAATTCACTCCGATCGCGATGGGTGAAATTTCAATGGACGAGCTCAACACCGAGGGTTCCCGTGTCACTTCGTCTTTCCTCGAGCGGAAGACATTCCGTTATGCCTGGCTCTTTCTACCGGCGCTCTTTGGGCGAATAAAAACTTACCGGATTGAACGACGTCGAGGAGGGTCGCTCCCATAGCCGTCTTCTTATCCTTGAGCTCATCGAGCACCTGCCTGGTGAGGTATTTTTTCACCAGAGACTTGCAGTCCGCGGCTCCTTGAAGCTTGGCAAAGCCAGCTTCGAGCTTATCCTTGATAGCCTGGTCAACCATTGTTGGATACGAAGTCGTACACCTTTAACGAAAGGAAGCCGTGAGTGAGAGCCTTTCAGACCTCAAGACTCTTATAGTCTGCGGGAAACCCTCTCTCTGAGCGCGCGATCGTAACCGGGACCGAGAAAGGGTGGCTCGGTGCGCGAACCCGCGTCCTGAGGTAAGCATCGCGTTGACACCCAGTGTAACTATTTCACCATTAAGCACAACGAGATTCCAGAGCGGGTGGGGAATTCATATATTTGTGTGCGGAGCGACAGGGTGAGCGGAGGGTCTAGTCGGAATTTCTGATCTGTTCAGGCAGATCGATTAGCGGTTCGGCTCCGAAAAGGAATTGTAACCGAGTCCGCTCGAGACAGCGGATCGCGGTCCCGAAGCTTGTGCTTCCGACGGAGGATATCCTATATTTAGCGAAGGCTCGAAGTCCTCGAAGGACGATACCCAGAGCCTTTAATGCATTTGGCAGCGACGCCTTTCCAAGGTCATGCAAGGTGAATCAGAAGGTCTGGATTCAGAATAAGCCCCGAGAGACGATCCACGGAAATAGCGATCGATTTTGAGTCAATGATGGAACAACGCTCATCGCAGCGAAATGTCGGAGTGTCGGGATGCGGCACAAGCAACCGATTGGAAATGGCTTCCCCGGTCGTAGCTCCGGGGATCCGCGTGCTTTCCAATGGAAACGGTCTCCGGATAGTGCTCTCGAACGCGGTGCGCCTTCCCTCGAACCGCGTCGAGTTGAGCATACGGAGTCAAGCCAAGGTGAAGGCCTAGGTGAACAGTAGACTTCTCGTTCGAGCGCTTCCTCCACTGTGTCTGTGCGAGAACTCAAGTGCGTAAGCGATAGAGTGCCAAGCCAATGACAGCAAAGTGATGATCAGCTCGATATAAAATAGTATTCGGCAGTTGTATCACGGTTTTTGATCTACGCAGCTCTCTCTCCATTTGGCAAGCAGCGAAAAAGTTTCAGCATCTACGTACGCTCCGCCCATTTCTCTCTAAGTATGTTTCCGATACAACTAGCAGATGCAGGCTACTGTCGCTCGTTCCGGAACTTTAGGGGTCATCATGCGACATCGCTCAAGGTGACTGACTGATCAACTGACGGATTGACCGACGGGCGGACCGAGTGGCGGAACGACTGAAAAACTGTTCGAATGCTAGACTCGATTCACCAGTAAGGCTACGAAATGTTCGGAAAAGCGGTTTTTCGAAGCGGCTCTCTCAACCTTTTCTCTGCGTCCCGAGTCCGTAGGAAGGGCTTTCCAAGCACAGTTTGTCAACGAGCACAGCTGAAGGCTCACGAAGTCAAACTCACGTTAGGCGTCTCCAGAGCCCCACGGAGAGGGTCACAACTCGGAGGAGGGTAAGCGCGCGAAAGAGAAACCCGCTCGGTGCGGACGTCTTTCTGTGCGTGGAAAAGCCTCAACGATCGCTGTCAGACACAGGCTTGAGTTCGGCTCCGATGCTGGCCGAGCTCGATGACGAAGCTCAAAAATTACATTTCCCGAATGAAAACAACGGTTCTCGAGCCAAAATCTGGCTGTGTTCTGAGCTCGGGAGGCGGGAAAAGTTCAAATCAGGACCGCGCACCTCTCAAGGGACTTGCGACTGCCTCCCGTCCAAGCCGACAGCGTCTTCGGGAATTCCGCGGCTAGTATTTTCAGAAAATCGTTGCGCCTCGCAGCGCAAACGTGAATTGAGTCACACAATCCGCCCGCGATTCAAGTCAGAGACCTGATCAACTCCGTTGAATCTATCAGGAGCCTTGCACAGGAACTCATTTCCATGATCTAGATAGGGCGACCGACCCGCCCAGACCCGGAGGTCCACAGATAAGTCCTAGTCTTGCAGAGTATCCTACAATTTTTCCCTCGCTCCCGAGCGGGATAAGACTTGTGAGAATTGATGATTCCTCGGGGAGTACCCACTCAGCTGCAGCAAGGAGGCTCTTCAACTTTCAGACTAAGCAAGCATGTCATGAACGTACAATCGTTTCATATCTCTCTATGCAGGGCGCCTTGCTCGCCTACGACAGCCCCGAGAGGTGAGGAGCCGAATGCTCCGTTCATGTCGATCCTGAGGACTCGCCGCGTACAACGATTGTTGAGACCATCGTGTCCCCTAACGAGGAGGCGCGTCAAATATCCCGAGAGGCTGACATTTGAAAACTGAGACGCCCGTCGTGAGGAAGACAGCCTGAATCGATTGCTCACTCTCCTTGACAACTCGAAAATACCCGCAGGAGATTTGTATTTCGAGTGTTCCTTGGAGCCAAAATATATCATGGATTTCTTGTGGGGCAGAATAGGACGATTCAAAAATATGTCAAGCACCGACTTCAATGGAATCTCAAAATGTTCAGACTTTACGGGGAGATCCCGCTGAGTGGGAAATAACTCGAGGGAACATCGATGTGTCATTCATAAGGCACCTTTCGTTCGACTTTCGGGAGAGGAATGCGATCTCTCTTTGAAGGCTCGTCCGAGAAATTTCTATCTGGCCACGGTTCAAGGCTCAGCCGGTCCGAAGCCGAGCCCATAAACACCGACTTATCCTGTAAGAATTGTAGCCGGAGAACGTGCCGCGCGAGAGTTCCGTTCGGTGACCAGTTGAAAAACAACAATAGCCTCGGTCTTCGAAACCTGATCACGAAGCGAGAGAGACCGCCAATGTTCATACCGTATGTATATATCTCATCTGTCCAGAATATTTCGAGTCTTAATTGCAAATCGATGCGATCCGATCTCCTCCCACGGTAGTTCGGCACGATTTTCCGTTCCACCCCGGGACTCTGAGTTCCGGGACACACAGTGGGACATAGCAGGGAGACGAACTGCGATTTGTGTTGACTCCTCCAATAAATTTTCCCGGCACACTGCCTAGTCCGATGCGGAAAATCAGATGGCCACGGAATAGTCTCCAGAAGCCGCAAGAGAGCTTATCGCTGGGAGGCATTTCGGAAACTACAAGTCCCAGGGTTTGGGGGATCATCTTCGAATAGCGAATCAAATTTCTAACATGAGAGTGTCCTTCATATTTTTAACTCCGAGTAATATCCGGGGGGTGAACGCCCATCACCTCGACACGTCATCTTTGTCTGGGGCTTAGCTGTAAGTTCGAGGGATCAGGCTGACAAAAGGACAATACCTCTGCGAGGGGAGAGATTGTCCTGGCCCTGTCATTGACCGCTCTCAGCCAGGACACGCAATCGTCCGCAAACATTGAATCGATTCCGCGAGAAATAGGAGTACGGTCACCCTTGAACCACACAATCCGCCTCCAGAGAAGCGTTGCAACACCTAAGTACTCAATAAATATATTTATCCGCGCTACTTGCGGGACCTTCTGCGGAGGGTACATGTCATCCGGAATGGTAATTCAGAGTCAAGCTCTGCGCGCTATTCAAGACGTCTGCTGACCTCTCAGTTGTAGGTCGAGTCTTCATGACCCGTTCAAAAGTGCTCGCCGGCAACGAGAAGGGAAGCCTTTCCGAACGATACTGCAAACATACACCGAGCGGGCAAGGTGGCCCGCGACCTAGAGTAGCAACCAGGTAGCGACTGTGATTCGATCAGCTTGTGATTCGTGAGGCATCTTATCCGGTTCCATTCTGAGCAAGTTTGAGTTTCAGGCCCAGCTGCTTATGACTCGGGAATACTGCCCGGTACTATCGATTACTGAATACGTGCATGATCCGTGTCATAGAATGATCATTGTCGTCGGTCTCCGGATACCCCGAAATCATGGGATTTCGCGTCGGCGGGGAGGCTCTTCACGAGCGACCTTGAGGAGCGTTCTCGAAGTCTCATCGGGTGACAGCTTTATGTAACTGTGATACGTTGAGATAGCCGGGGTGGCAAGTGCGAGAACACGCTGTTCTCATTCACTGCTCAGAGCGGGAAGCAGCTACACCGCGAGGAAAGACTCAGTCAGCCCGGTGGGTGACCTCGCGAGGTCGTAGACTCCGACTGTTGGGAGAATCAGAGCGAGCTGAGGTTTTTGACAGCAGTTCGGTACTTTCTGCCGAGGTTGAGAGCTGCTGACGGTCGAATAGCCTAGGATACGCAGTGAGCTTCGGAGAAATGAAACAAAGAACGAGTGTTCATCGGAGCGGCTTCTTCGGACTGCTCAAGTTACTTCCGAGAGCTTCTCGGTAGGTTGGCGGATCGGGAGCGCGAGAATATCAGGAATCATGGTAATTGATTTCCATATTCTTGGTGGGACTCGAAGACTCTCGAATATCGCAGTTAGAGTTGTAGCTCGGGCTGTGCGGCGCCGGCGTTACGAATCAGCAGAATGTGGCGATCGGGTACGCGGTGTCTGCATCAGACTTTTCGAATAATAAGATCCTCCTTCCCGCCGTTCCGAAGCGCCCAGCACTGTCACATGTGCTGCTTCCATTAGGTGAGTATATTATCGCGAGACGCCGCGGGGAAATCGCAACCTCATCGTCGTTCTCCGTAGCTGATTTGAAAACGGGCTGCGTCGATGGTGCGAGTGACTTAATGTTCGGAAACGGGTATGGATCCGCGGGCTTGGTCCTGACTATTAATGACAGATGGGCACAATCAGTCGAGAGAGGAATAGAATGATCTCTGGAAGAATTCTCCTCCGATCGACGGCGGATAATCATTCGAGAGCCACAAGTCTGGCTCTCGAAAATATGGAGGCTCATCATAAATGAAGACTTAGCGCGTTGCTCAGCAGGGCCTTATGCGGCGATAGTCACAATTCAGTGCTTTATTGTGATTACAGTGCTTGAGATTATTCATCATCCTTTCATTCATTCGCTCGTTCTCTCAATCAGCCATTCATCCGACCAATCAGTCAATGATGATTTTAGTAATATTACACTGAATCCGTGAAAAATTTCTATCTCGTCATCACCGTCATAGACACACCATGTGAGAAGGTGAACGTTTTCGTGAATAAAGACGATATCATGTGTCCGTGAAACTGCTTCACCTGAGTTTGAGCCGAAGAAGTTTACCTACTTACAATTGATTACCTGGCGAAGTT